GTGTATCGGGACCACACGGGCTACTTTCCAGAGAGAGGGCGGGACATGGCACCGAAAACAGAGTGAGAACAGCTGGGCAAGTAATGCAGCCAAAACCTTTGAGCACTGCTTCAGAACTGTGGCAGGGATGCCATTGGGTCTGGTAGCCTTGGTCGGATCCAGCTGGCGGAGCTGGCGCTGGACTGTCGCTTCCCAAAAGCGGCCAGTTGTCAGGGCAGATGTACACCTAGGAGGAAGGTCAGGAAGGTCGGAGTGCTGTAGATCTTGATCACCCAGCCTGCATTGGCTCGCAAAAAAATTTCCAAAGCAAGTAGCTTTTCTTGGTTGGTGACATATTCTCTGCCCTGGGCATTACGTAGGACAGGGATAGACGAGCTGCGGCCAGAGCCTGCAGCTTCCTTCAGGAGTGACCACCATTGCTTGTTTCGCACTGATCCATGTTTGAGCCGATCTCGGATGCGGGCAAATTCTGCCTGCTTTGCGAGACGGAGGCAATTGGCAGAGGCTTTGGCACTGGACCCAGACTGCATTTGCTCGCAACGAATTCTCCAAAGCAAGTAGCCTTTCCCTGGTTGGTGACATGTTCTCTGCCTTGGGCATTGCGTAGGACAGGGATAGACGAGCTGCGGCCAGAGCCTGCAGCTTGCTTCAGGAGTGAACACCATTGCTTGTTTCGCAGTGACCCATGTTTGAGCCGATCTCGGAGGCGGGCAGATTCTGCCTGCTTTGCGAGAGAAGGCAATTGGCAGAGGCTCGGACTTTGGCATTGTAGTCAATGATTTGCTGGTGACAGGTGGGGTGTCTCCTCAGACGGTTCCATGCATAATTCTTTGCCTGGGTAGCGGCTGAGCATTCCGGCGTCCACCAGGATGGATCTGTTGGCTTCGTCGAAAGTTCTTTGCGTGGAATGAAGCGATTCATGCCTTCCATGACAACAGCCGTTACTGATCTGCACGACGCCTCGGGATCCTCTGATATATTCCAGTTTGCTGTTGAGTAGAAGTGCCGAAGCCGACCCCAGTCTGCCTGAGCATACCTCCAAACGCGCCGTTTAGTCGGTGGTTCGCGGAGTGGGGTGGCATCAAAAGTGGCCACAACGGTGGCATGATCTGATGCTCCAATGGGGTCCAGTACATTTACCTCCACGGAGGTCTCCGAGAAGTCGCTGAGTATGAGGTCCAGGGTGTTCTCACCACGTGTCAGTTGAGTAACGTGCTGGTGGAGCCCGTGGAACGCAGAGAGTTCTGCCTTGTATTCACCAGCTGTTGTAGTCTTCGTGCTGCATAGCCAGCTTTCAATATGAACATTTAAATCCCCGGCTATCACAACGCTGTTCCCGAGGGATCGAGCTTGATCCATGACTGAGTCAGGATACTCAAGCAGAGAGACATCTTGTCCAGGGCACGACCCGGGTCGGTACACTGCACACATAACTACTTTCTGGCCATTGTCAAGGTGCAGGCGAAGCCAGATGAACTCATGGCCATGGTAGTTGGTGTCACTCAGGTGGTCAAAGGGGAGGGAGTCCCGGACCCAGACTACAACTCCGCCGCCTTGAGCATATCGGTCAAGTCGGAGGGGTAGGTGGAAGTCCAGCATGGAGGAGTCAGATAGTGAGGCTTTCTCCGGAGTGAATGTAGTCTCTGTTACGATGGGGATATCAGATCTGCTTCGTGCAACAGCATGCTGGAAGGCTCCAAACTTTGACAGCAGCCCAAAAGCAGTTGTCAGCAGTAGCTTCATTACTGGTATGTCCTTGCGCAGCTGGTGTTCATTGGCGTTTGTGTGGCTGAATCGCTCCAGCTGAGGCAGCCTCTGCCTCACTGTCCCTATCACCTCTGCTGCCCACGTTGCCGGCGCCAGATTCACCACATGAGGTGTCACCCTGTGGCTATTTGCGGTGTCGCCAGGCTCGAGCGTAAGTGGCCATGGCCAGCAGTTCGCAGCAGTGACTGTTTCTAAGCCTCTGGCGTCGAGCCTCAATCGGGCGGAGACTTTCCCGTCTTCCGTGGTGTGCATGCTGCACTCGTGGACCTTGACAGATTTCACCATGGCCACAGATCGCTGCTGAGTGAACTCTGTCACTCGCTCCACTGTGCAATAAGCGTTCAGATTTCCCACATACACGACTGCCTTCCTTGTTTGGTGGGTTTCTTTAGACACTACCTCCGACAAGCGAAACTTGGCGCGTTTTTTACTTCAAATTATTCGAAATAAATCACACTTTACAATCAAAACTAATGATTGAATCACCACAATTCAACTTTGTATTGCTCAACCAGGACATTAGAGACATCTGTTAGGCTGAACAACTCTCCTCTGATTCAGCGATCGCAGTTTCTTCTGGAGACGATTTGTCCCTGTTTTGAGACAAAAGTGCGACTAGAGCGGATTCAGTTGCAGCAAGTACCTTTGTTGTAATCGCTTTGAAAATCTCTATGTCGAGCCACGGTGTCGAGGGTAGTCGTTTCCGCCGCCACTATCCAGATTGACGTGGTAGGAACTGTGCAACACCTCCACAAGCGCCTGCACTCCAACTGTTTTGCAGGGTATTCTCGCCAACTGTCCAAAATTGCCTGTAGCAATTACTGGCGATTTTCCTTAGCCACCAGAGACGCATCGCTCTAGTGGCTGTTGAAAGACGCTAGGACTGTTTGGCATGGACGCATGTACTCTGTGCTGGCGGAGTGACCAAGAGGAGAGAGAGAGAGAACTCCTTGGTTTTGCATTGCAACGCGAAAGCACGACAATTCTCCTTCGCAGAATGTATGCGCGCACAGTTTTCTGGTACACGAGAGACACGCTTGCCTCTGACTGATAAGTCTTAGCCATGTGCCACTCACCAGCTCGTCGCTTGGCGTCCTGCACCCGGTTGCATGGAGCTACAAGTACTAAGTAGGTCATACCTCACAGCCTTGTGAAGTAGTTTTGGTATCAACACAAAAAAATCAAAAAAACGCGCCAAGTTTCGCTTGTCGGAGGTAGTAGTTTCCACAATTTGTCAGCGATTGGGTGGAACGATGTTTTCTGGGGCTTGACTGGGAGGGGGGGGGGGGGGAGGAGGGGGGGGGGGGGCGCCCAACAGTCTGAAAACTTTCTTCTTCCTCACTCGAGATCTCACGATCACTGCCAGTGTCATCCACGTGTACGCGTTTGAAAGCGCTACAGTATTCTCCTGCTGATGCACCAGTGCACTTGGTGACCTGGTCTTTTCGCGTACGGGTACGGCTACGAGATCCCTTCCGCCTCGTCGTACTCTGGGGCTGCTGTTCAGCCGGAGGTAAGGTAACACTTGCCCTTGCAATGCCGGACTCCTTAATGGTGACAACCTCCTCTTTCAGTCCTGTTATCTGCACGACCAGTTTGTCAATCCAGTTTTGGAGTTGGACCTCCCGGGTTGCAGATTCCGACACGAGCAATGACAGCGTCTTGACAATTTCAAGGACGGAAGTTTCTATTTCAGGGATGGAGCTCAAAAGTTTTATTTCCGATTCCGTCATGCTGCGAGTGGCAGTTTTGGTCGGCATAGCTACCTGTGTCTACCAATTGCTACTAGTACTACCTAGACTATCTACTAACTGTTCCTCACCACTCTTCTCTTCTACCCTGTAACTACCTCCAGACCGGCCTGGTGCCGGCTGGGCTGAGAAATCGCGCGAAAAAGTATGGAGCTCGAAAAATTCCAACCGTACTCTTCAGCTACTTTTTCTTGCATCTAGTACTAAGTATTTCCCTAATCTACTCTTCTTAGTTCTAATGCCGAGAACTACAGAAAACAAAAGTACAGATAGATGAAGGAGGGAAACCGACTTGCTTTTACAACAAAAACTTGTCTGTGTGTGCGGGGAGAGGCGGGGGGGGGGGTGTTGGCAAGTCATTTGTGTGTGGGGGAGGGGGGGGGGTATTGGCGATTACTCTGTGTGTGTGGGAAGGGGGGGGGGGGAGGGGATGGGGGAATGGCCGAGTCATCTCGGTTGTGGAAGGGGGGGGGGATTATTGGCAAGTCATCTGTGTGTGGGGAAAGGGGTTGGGGGGGGGGGGGATATTGGCAAGTCGTCTGTGTGTGGGACTGAGGGTGTTGGCAAGTCATCTGTGTGTGGGGGGGGGAGGGTGGGGAGGGGATGGGGGGAGGGCGGGAGGGGGGGGGGGGTGTGGTTGTAAAGTAATGTGTGTGTTGGGGGAGGGGGGACGGAAGGGCAATGTTCGGAAGTGATGTGTGCTTGGGGCGGGGGTTATTGCCTCGGTTAGTGTTTGTGGGGAGGAGTGTGTGTGTCGGGGGAGGGAAGGGGGGGGGTATTGGCAAGTCATCTGTGGGCGGGGCAGGGGGTGGAGGGGGAAGGGGGGGGGGCAGGAAAAGTGTTGGCCAGTGATGCAAGGGTGGGTGCAGGTAGCTTGTGTGTGTGTGTGTGTGTGTGTGTGTGTGTGTGTGTGTGTGTGTGTGTGTGTGTGTGTGTGTTCCATATGGTGCAGTGGTATGTGCAGTCGATTTCCAATCGAGAGATTGCGGGTTCAATTCCCGACGATTATGGTCGCACACGTCTTTCTTCTCTTTCTCATTCTCCTAGTTTTTCTTTCATTCTCCTGGGTGGTTACCAACAGCCAGTGCATGCCAGAGTATGTGCTGTGGTGTGTATGTCGAAAAAAATAAATAAAAATAAAAAAATAAAAAATGGAAAAATGAAAAATAGGGATTCACTGTCCAGAAAAAGTAACTTCAATCAGCTGTGTGGTGGATACCAGGCTAACGAATTAAAAGTGGCGGTCAATTCATCAGCCTTGCAAGCTGTTGAATGGTGCAATCCCAGCACAAGTTGCTATGTCTAACATAGCTGTTCGCTGTCATCGCTTCCACGATGGGCAGGTCTGAGGTCTGAGGTGTGTGTGTGTGTGTGTGTGTGTGTGTGTGTGTGTATGAGAAGTTATAGATATTATAACATTGTTCTATGACCATATCTACTTACTTCCTAGCTTGCATTTGCTATTGTGTTGCATTGTATTAGATTTCCCGTCACTACAAGCAACATGCACTCCTTCACCAGGACTTACAAACACCTGAACAACAAACCGGGGTCATTGATCAACTGAAGACGGAAGTAGAGAAGGTTCAGCATGATGTGGATGCAATGCAGGTTAGTTGAAAGTGTGTTGATTTGATTTGCTTATACTCCATCTCTGTATACCTGTATGTATGTATACTTCAGAGGTGTATGTACACTAGTGCTGAAACGATTATATCGAATACTCGTTACTTACTCCATAAGAAATAGATCGAGCGGTTATTTCGATTTTATCGGCTAAGCAAGTAGAATGGTACTTGCGCTCGGTACGGGATTTCCCCCCTTTTGGGGTGGCACAAAGCTTTTTTTTAAGCGTACATTCACCGAAACTGTTGCAAGTACGACACGGATTTGTACATGAATGTACACTTGCAACATCGATGAACGTGTAAAAGTACAAGCGCGATCTGAGAAACATCGACGCAATCACCGCCGCCGTTTTTTCAGGTGACTACTTTTCTCACATACAGCATGCAGGATTGGCAGGCTCAGTATGTGTCTACACTAGCTGCAGGGGCTGGAGTTCCCTCCAAGTGCGAGTAGTCTTGAGCTAAAGACAGTAATGTGGTCTTCAGTTTCGTGTTTTCAGTTCCGTTGATGGTTCCCGAGCCAGTTTGCTCGACGATGAGCTAGTCCTGGCGTCTGGGCCTATTTTTGAACATAGACAGAAATAAATCAACTAGTTACTTGTCAGTGCGCCTCCAGTCAGCTCATCCGTCGGAATCCGCCCATCTACACCACAGGCCGACTTCTCTGACTTCATCGTCGGAGTCAGCGAATTCACAGGCGAAGGGCACCATCAGCTCTTGGGTTGCGTGCGTGCGTGGGTGGGTGGTTGGGTGCGCGCGTGCGTGCGTGCGTCCCATATGGTGCAGTGGTATGTGCAGAGATTTCCAATCGATAGGTTACGTGTTCGATTCCCGACGATTATGGTCACACACATCTTTCTTCTCTTTCTCAGACTCTTCCTGACTTTTCTTTCATTCTCCTGGGTGGTTACCAAAAGCCAGTGCATGCCGGAGTATGTGGTGGGATGTGTATGCGGGAAAAAATAAGAAAGACCAAAAATTAGGGATTCACTGGCCGGAAAAAGCCCCTTCATAGCTGTGTGGTGTAGACCAGGCTGAATAGTGGCGGTCAATTCTTCAGCCTTGCAAGCTGTTGAAAATGGTGCAATCCCAGAACAAGCTGCTATGGCTTCTGCTGTAGCATCGCTATCATCGCCTCCGGCAATGGGCGTCCAATGATCCAATGGTGGGTATGTGTGTGTGTGTGTGTGTGTGTGTGTGTGTGTGTGTGTGTGTGTGTGTGTGTGTGTGTGTGTGTGTGTGTGCGCGCGTACATGTAACCTATCAAGGCAAAGTGTATCAAGGTCAAGGTCAAGGTGCGCGTACGTGTGTGTGTGTGTGTGTGTGTGTGTGTGTGTGTGTGTGTGTGTGTGTGTGTGTGTGCGTACGTGCGTGTGTGCGTGTGTGCATGCCTGTGTATGCATATGGGCCGCGGTCAGCTAAACATATCTGAGTTTTCGGAATGAAAAACATTTTTCACTCACATAGCAACCGGGTTGTACATGGGGTAGTGGTCTACCAGAATGTACTCACGAAGCAAAGGATAGTCAGGCAGAGGCAATGGCAGTGGAGACAGAAAGCAAGTGGTGCTGTGAATCCGCGATGTACTTATCCTTGGAGGACGCGGACCTCCAGCCGCCGTGTCGTTGCAGTAGTCTGTCCACAATGTCCGAGTTCGCTGGGGCCATCGCTCCACCTGATCGGATGCTGTGGAGACCATATGATGTTCTGTCAGTTTGGGTGTGGCCCTCCGCTACTTTCAGGAGTTCCGTGGCTCTGCTGTAGCTCATGGTGCCGCGCACGCCTGGCCCAGAGCGGGCGGAGGTTACCTTGCCCAGTACGTGTTGGTCGGGTGAATGTCCTGCTTGCCGGAGAAATCTCTCTGTTATGCGAACCGGGCATGGCATGGAGCCGGTGAATTGGCGAGTGACCAGAATTACGTCCCCCTGGCTCAGTTGGTCGTTCTTGTGGCTTGGCAGGTGCACGGACATATGTGTCGGGGTAAAGTCCAGCGAGGACACCACGAGGCGCTGCAAGTCGTCCCAGGGCAGTAGGGCGAAGAACCCAAGACAAATCATGGTGGCACATTGCAGGTCCCCCAGTGGTGCCTCCGGTTGGGCCATGGTGGACATCACTTGGTGGAACAGGGACGGTGAGATCGGAGTGCGGCGGGAGATGGGACGTGCACAGATACGGCGAGCGGCAACTTGCAGTTGCGTGATGACCGGTGCCGCGATCGGATCTGGGTGACCGGCCTTACGGTGCAGCCAACGTAGAGCCGCGCAGCCTTGTGCGACAGGGGCAAACGTCGTGCCTTGTTGGATCAAACTCGTTAGGTATAGCGCCACGTGGACTGCGCGAGCTGAGGAAAGGGGTGAATCCGGCCCCAGAAGCCCATGTACGCCAGCGACCGAATGCTTGCAGATATGCCCTACCTGTAGAAGGCGCCACATCACTGAGCAGGGCGACCGGTAGCGTGTCGACCAGGTGTGGAACGGCTGGATTCCGTATGGATGCCAGTTCCGTTCAAAAGGGGGAGGATGCTGAATAAGGCACATGCAAAACGCACGCACGCACACACCCACAGACAGGAAAAAGACACACGGGGGATCAGATCTGGACAGACTGTGTGTTGTTCCTGTGAGTTTTATCGGTGTTCAGTCCCGGTATTGTGGGTTTCCAGACTCCCCCACCCGGTGCACCCCCCAGGGGTCTAACCCTCCTCTGCCTCCAACGTCATCGTTACCCCGTGTGAGATGTATGTCGTGTAAATTATGAACAGAGTGAATTGGGTGGGGGACCAGGGGTGACAACCGCTGCTCGGAACGAGCCGGGCCTCATGTCGCCGCAGCTTCACGCCTCATACAAGCATGCACACAGGCAACCATAGCCAACATCACTGTCCATCGGGCTTCTACCTCCCTCATCATCACTGCCCATCATCAGGCTTCTCCCTCCCCCATCATCACTGCCCATCGGGCTTCTCCCTCCCTCATCATCACTGCCCATCAGGCTTCTCCCTCCCTCATCATCACTGCCCATCATCGGGCTTCTCCCTCCCTCATCATCACTGCCCATCATCAGGCTTCTCCCTCCCTCATCATCACTGCCCATCGGGCTTCTCCCTCCCTCACCATCACTGCCCATCGGGTTTCTCCCTCCCTCACCATCACTGCCCATCGGGCTTCTCCCTCCCTCATCATCACCGCCCATCGGGCTTCTCCCTCCCTCGTCGTCTCTGCCCCTCGGGTGTCTCAATCCACATGGGTAAGTGTAAGTTCATTGAATAGGCAATTCACGCAGAAAAAATGCCCTATACTAAAAAACGGCAGGAACAGAACAGCATAGGCAGCAAGCGCAAGAAAAAACACTAAGAGACAACAATAAAGGCAACCCCGTGGGGGGCGATGGACAGCACATGGGAGGGGGGGGGCACATGAACCCCATGAAGCTTCGAACTGCTCTCTACGCTAGCTCTGTCTGCTGATAAGCTGGCATGCCTGACGCGACACGGACGTACGCCTTGTACGCAGAGCTTGACCAGCGCCCTGCAGCTTGAATTTGCCACTCTGGGGCCTGTCGTTCGGCCATGGCCGTAGCACCACTGATCTGCAGAGAATGGCTTGAACGCCTGGGCCGAGAGCCCTCTTGAGAATGTCGTTCACGACGCTGGGGGGTAGGTGGCGCCCCTCGCGGAAGGCAAAGAATGGGGCACCTGTATCCACCCACTCCCTGGCACTTATGTAGGCAGCGACTGAACGTACAGGGCAGGTTGTGGGATAGCTGCTTGTGTGCAGTAAGACCAGCGCCACCAGCGCCCGACTGTGCCGGCTTCGTTACCCCTAGGGTAATCGTGACCTTCTCCTCCGAGAGGGCGACATGGCTCCTCTGAAGAGTCCTGTGAGTATCCACCGTTGTTGGTGATGGCGCCGTGTACTCGCTCACAAGCATGAGCCCGTGAAAAGCTGTGAATACTGCTGCCCAGAGCATGGCCTTGTCTTGCGGTGCATAATGCGAGAACTCCAGAAATTCGCGGATAGCCTTGATGTCGTTGGGTGTCACCGCACGTCTGGATGACGGAGGCACAGGCATTGGCCTGGACGTCAGCTTGTCACGGTCGATGCCCTTCAGCAAGGCCAGTATCCTGGGTGCTCTGAGCAGATCCACCGGACCATCATTCAATACGAAGTGGTGGCGGACGGCTGGTAGGTATACCCTGATTGTCTTACCAGACAGTGACGCGGACAGTGACGTCATGAAAAGAACTATATCATTGACCGTCGGTGCCAGATGCCTGAAGCGGAGCTGCTGGGCAAACTGAATGTAGGACCTGACTCCAGGGCTGTAGGTCTGGTGTGTCTGGGGCGCCACCGATTGGGCCAGGAGCCAGCTGGCTTGAGGGTCGAGTATCTCCCACCTGGTGGTGGCTGGAGGTTAATGATGTCGACCCCACCCATCTGCAATGTGGGGACACGGCAGCAGCACCAAACGCAGTGCATAATAAGCAAGCAGTTAAGCCAGTACGAAGAGCAAAACATGACCAACCATCGCATCGCTGTGCCCAGCTACAATGACTTTGAAGGCAAACTAACTGGCTGCTTGCGATACATATTTATTTGCCGAAGCATCCCGTTATTAATGCGCCGGTTTGGACGCGTTTGAGCATCCATCCCGGCGCTCGCCTTACAATCATCAGCGTCCGTCGCCAGTTTGCGGATTTAGAGCATCCTGGTGCCAGCTATCCTAAATGTTGGAACGTTCTCCATTTGTTAGTGTTTGTCTTCGTGTATTACATGTATATTACTCAGTATGTCGTAATTGGACACTGCTCGGTTATTCTCACCTTGTGCGTTACACTATTTGTAACGTGGCTCCTCTGCTTCAGTTTTCGTTTTATCTCTCTGGCAGGGACAGCCACCACCCGCCTGGTGAGTGCCAGCATCCTCCGGCAGTTGCGCTGGGACTCTACGATACATTCTTGTTCTCCGATAATTAGAAATCTGC